TACAAGAAATTGTGTAATTACAAATTATTAACATTATTTTATTTTTTTTTTTTTACATATTGCACTAAATATACTTATACTTTTTACTATTATTTTATTATTAAGATAATCCCGATGACTTTATATATTACAACGTTGTGACTATAATATTTTGTGATATATAGGTAGGACGTATGTTATATCCGTAACGAAATCTACTGCGGGCAACGCATGAAATATTATAGTTACGGTGTTCGACAGAAAAAAAAAAACTATATATTAAGCATGTACTGTAATGTATGTCTAAAAGAAAAAAAGAACACAAGTTGAAAGATAAGAGTTCTGAAATAAAAAAGAGAAAAGAACATTCAAAGCTCTTGCTGAATTTTTCGACCATTTTTCACCGTTCTCTATTGTGTAAGTTATAACTGTATAGATAAAAATGGATTTATTAGAAACGTTACTTATTTACTCGTACAATGTATTATACATATTTTCCGCGTAAAAAGATTTCTGTATTTCGTATTTGACAACTTTATCAAAGAGATACATATTGACGTTCAAACACGCAACAGCATTGCTGATGTATATCCGGAAAATAATGAATAAAACATAGTAATATATTGTATAATATGAAATAGATAATAATAATAAAAAAAAAAATGTTTGGGTTATACTTTAATTTAAATCTGTACGCAATGATATATCATTGCTGACTGAAAAAGATTCTGAGCGAAGCTCAGTTAATCGTATTTTGATAAACTTAAATCAAAAATTGTATTAATTTTTAATAAAAAAATGAATTACGATTGCCAGTATCAATTATCGTCTAAAATTGTAGAGTATTTTTATAGAGTAATATCGGAAAATATCACGCCAAATTTTGCTACTTTCAAAATTTGAAATTTAAAAATAAACAGTATTAAAAAAAAAAAAAAAACAAAGATTTCCGTGACCAATGATTTTTGAAATGTATAAAATTCCATAAGAACAACTTATAATAAACCTTATGTTAGGTAATTATTATGCATTTTTGAGAAACCGGAAAAATTTCATCATCAAAACAAAATAAAAACAAAATTTAAAATTTAAAAAGGCTGTAAATAACTTAAAAATAGCCAGAATATTTAGAAAAATTATATCACGTATAGAAAGATTTAATAGAAGTATTTGGTCAAAATTTCAAATTTCTATGATTATTTTTAATTGAATAACAGTAAAAAATACAGTCGAAAACAATAAAACAGTTGTATCGATAAAATACTCCGTTTTTCGTAAAATTTTTCCCAATTATTAAGACAACTATATGAAAAATAAAAAAATGGTCATCTCAATGCACCATCTAGGTGAAATATAATTTTCCGAAAAGATTCTATACTTAAAAACCGTGGCAAGATTTCTGGTAAAAAAGTGGTTCCCGAGAAAAAAACCACATCATAGTTAAACTAATACATTTATCATTATAGTTAGAATGTAAAACAGCAATAATTATTAAATATTTTTGCATAATATTACCGATTTTCTTAAATTTATTTTTGGTTTTCCTTGATAACTACCATGAAAATGGCCTTCTCAATGTACCAACTAAAGTGGTGGTAAGCGATTTTGAATAAAATTAAAAATGAATTATTTTCTTGAATAACTTGATAAAAATGTGTATGTAATAAAATAAACACCAAGACAATAAATATCGGTTCGATGAATTTTTCAATTATCATCTGTCTGCTTATAAATGTATGAAACGCAACATAAATAATATATGCATTGTGTTCTCAATTCGAAATCGTCTTGTTGACTATGACAATAATATTACATAGATTTCAAATCGAAAAATAATAATAATTTACAGTATTTTATTATTGTTTTTTTTTTTTTTTTTTTTTTTAATTTAATTTTTATTAGAAACCGAAAGATGACCGGATGGAAACAGCGAAAACTGAGAAGTCACCGTCTTCATTTAATAATACTGAAGCAGACAGTGACAGTAAAAATTAAAACGAAACGTAAGTCTCTAATTTTATAAATACTTCAAAATCTATCGAAAATCGAGTTTTATTATTTGTAATTCGGACTCTGGTGCCGTTTAATTTTACATTACTGTTTCGATAATGGTGACGGCTGTGATATCGCGCAAAAATGAAAAGTGAAATTCCGAAGTGTCGCGTTCTTATACAATAACAACACCAGCGCAATAATTTAAATCATTTACCATATTACTGCAAATAAAAACTTAGAATGTACAATTTAGATGTTCGCTCTGTTTTTTAAGACTTTCAAATGTCGATTTTTTTTTTTTTTTTAAACTCATAAACCTAAAAATATTTTATTATTATAATATACTTTGTTCAAATATTCAGATATTTTTATTTTCGACATCAATGTACGACTGCAATCGATCAATCGTAACTGTAATTATTGCTGCATCTCGAGTTACCTTATACAAGTGAAGAAAATGATACACCCGCATCTAATGTCTTGGTCTAACTGAAGGAAAACGCGTTACTTAAATTTGTGGCGTTTAGGTTAAAATTAGAAGTTAAGTACAAATAAAGAAATTTAAAGAGAAAAATACTTTCAATGGTTGTAGCTTTTTTCTAAAATGTTTTTACAAAAGAGTTACCGTTTTGGTTGCTTACAGATATAAATTTATTTCTCCTTTGTATCCTACCTTCCCAACTTCTCACCAACAACAGTGGCTACACCCATCTCCATTATCCTAGGACAGCTTTTTTATTTTATAACATAAATAGCAATACCCGTAAGTAGAAACGACCAACTATGATCGTATAATGTCGTAAAGGATCTAACAATACTGTACGATTGTAAAATTACAAAGGGGTAGCGTCGGATAGAAAAATATATTGTTAGAGAAAGACGTAATGCAGCAATGGACCTTTAAACGGTCTTTGAAGCTAAAGACAAAAAGATGTAACAAGTTATTTAAAAATCAAAAAAAAAAGCTCTAGGTCTGCCACTTGGGCTACAAACATTTTTGTGGGGTGATGTATTTTGCACACCGTCTCTCTTAAGTGCATCACTACGGGTGCAGCTTCCTCTTATTAGGATAGGGTATCAGCATGCTCGATATTGATCATAAACACATTATGTCAAAGTTCACTTTATTTCGAAACGAGTATAGGCTCAGCATCAAACGATCAATGATGGAAATTAAAGAACACAATTAACTTAAACAACATAGAGAATACATTTACTTATCTAAATTTTGATTTATAAAAAATAGTAACGGTTCGATTTTTACATGTAAAATTGCACCACTTTTTAATCTTAAAGATCAATAATAATCTCGTTCAAGTAAATTGAAAATTATGTCATACATTATATGATATGATATAATATGATAATGCAGAGTTGTGTGTTTTGTTTTCATAACGCATCTGGTAAAAATGCTAAAAAAACTTTTAACGATATTTTTATCGGTTATTTTATATGAACATGTTAGGTGTTCAATATTTCACATTTACATCATAAATACTAAAAACCCGGTACCATTTTTAATAATTCATAATATGAAAAAAAATTGGAATATCATTCAACAATTTAATATTCCATATATATTGCCTATACTCAACCCCTTTAAATTAACAGTGTGATCTCGCGCATCGATTTTAATACACAATAAAATGCGTATTATTAAGTATAAGTACAGATTATAATAAGTTCAGATAGATATTAAATAAAACAAATCCACTAATAATATTGAGTTTCAAAATATTAAAATTAATCGTTCATTTTTTGTTTTAGACCATTTCGCAGGAGTTTTCTAAAAAACATATTTTATCTTTAAGTTCACTTTTTTATCTATTTTATGCGTCGATGAGATTAACGAGTGGTAGAATAAGAGAGAATGAGACACTAGAATCAACGTGTCAGAAACCGAACGTCGTAGCGAAGTCATCATAAATAAGAGATTACAATTAGTGGGGTACGCATATTATAGAGAAAACAAAACCATGACTTCGTGCATCACTGAAAAGGAACGCGGTATGAAAAAGATCACTCGGAATTCTGAAAATGAAGTTAAGTGACGTAGTCAATGTGGAAACCCGAGAGTCGGATTAAATTGGATAGCACAAACATCAGATAAAGACGGTTAAATGTATGTATGACGGGATGATTTTAGAAATCAAATTTTCATCCCAAAGAAAAATAAGAAATCACAATATGAAACACTTGGAGTGTCTCAGTTGTTTTTCGCAAATAGAACTGTGCATCGTCGGTTACCCACGCAAACCTTATAAGTCGATTTTAACAAAATTGTGTGCACGAGAGACGAATAACTAAGGCATACTGTGACATACTCGCAAGTTTTATCTTTTGTGTGTTATTTTATTAGAATCTCGCAATTTACAATATTATGTTAACGGCAAAACGTGTAATAAAATACAGTTTTGTCGACGATAAGCAAAATAAAACTTCGGTCATACCAGTTATTTATATATACTATATTGATGTAAAAGTTCCAAATAAAAAAAGAAAAACAATAATAACATCCTTTAAATGTGTATTTTGGTGTTGATCTTGTCTAAATATAAATAAACATCTACTTGATTTTATTTAAAACGAAGAAAAAAAGATTAAATCTAATTTATAGCCGTATAAATTATTAATATCGTTAACGTAAAAAAAAATATACCACGATTCGTAAAACAATGTAAAATATTATTGTACCGCGTGTTTATGAACAGTTCATAAAACAATTGATGACCGAAATTAAACTTACCGCTACAAAAATAGGCGAACAAAAAGGATAAAAAGTAATGCGTATAAATTAAAAAAAAAAAAATACAAACACCAGTTATTTTTATTTATTTATTTTTTTTTTTTTTTGTACGTAACGTCTGAATGAAATATGATTAGTGACGTGCGCACCATCTCGCGGACCGGCCGGGGAAGGCGAAATGACGAGGATCTCCGGAGGACGGGGACACCGGGAATCGATGCATCACAACGTTGCTGCGAGACGGAAAGACGACGGAGAGGGATTCGGGAATAGGGCCGGGCTACGGATACTGCTGGGACTGTGACTGCGGCGGCCCGTACGACGTCGAGTAATCGTCCTGATGCATCCTGTAGACGGGCATGGCGGGCGACACGATCTCCACCGTCTTCCGGGAACCGGGATATCGTTCCACGTCCACCGGGTAGCCGTGCGTTCCGGATATGTCGACCACCGCGTCGGCGCACTGCCGCACGTGCGGCACCACGCTGCTCTCTTCCATGAGCGTGGCCGTCAGGTGGCTGCCGCCGCCCTTGCCGCCGCCGCCGCCGCCGCCGCCTCCGCCCTTCATGCAACTGTAGATGGCCATGGCCAGAGCCGCGCCGGCCGTCAACAGCGCCTTGCTGGACAGCGCCATCAGGGCGCTGGCGCCGATCGCGGCCATCGTGCCCGTCGCCCAGAACAGTCCGTGATGGGAGTCTTTCTTTTTTCTACCTTTTTTTTTTTTTTTTCACACAAAACACGTTACAATTAAAAAATAATTAATGTATCGTATAATATTGTTATCGCATATTAAAAAAAAAAAAAAAAATGATTTTATAATACAAACAATAATTGTTTGTACTCTCTATCTCGAAACTGGTGTTTGCGGGTTTTCGACAAACGTAAGGTAGCCGACAGGGGTCCGGATTTTTTTTTTTTTGAGAAAATTAAACTAAAGCCGTGTTCACACCGGGATAGCACTCGTTCGATATTAAATCGAATACTAAATTACGATTGGTGACTGAAAATATAACTTTGACAGATGAATAAAAACCGGTATGGTCCAGGCATCCGAAAACTGCGCGTTGATAACAGTCGGACAATCAAGCGACGCAACGAAGGGGAAACGAAAACGAAAATATGAATATGAACGAGAAAATGAAACGAGACGGGAATTCGCTCTTAGGCGAACTCGCGGAAGAAAATGAGTTCGCAAATCGTACGTGAACGAGTCCGTGGACGTTTAAAATACGGAAATGTTAAAATGACAATGGCATTGATAACGTATTTTGCTCGCGATTTTGTTTAGCGGTGAAAAAGCACCGTGTTTTAGTCGTTTGACTAAAATCACTACTCGGATCGCTACCAAGTGTAGCACATTGGAATGCACTGAACATTATTCGTCCACGTTTTCCCGGCGAAACGAATTTAGCAACTCACCGTAACTTACGTTACTCGGTCGAATACTATATTCCAGTGTAAACCCGGCACAACGGACTCGAATAACCCGAGATGGCCAGACACCCAAAACTTGGCCCGTTCATGTTTAACCGGTTTAACCTTTGGCCGAACGAAATGGATGCGCACAAGACCGTTTTTAACGGGACACGGGGTCAGTCCTCCGCCCCTCACTCCTGACACGGGAAAACGTATCCTGAAACATGACCTCAAATAATCGCTTTGTCCGGGGCCGTCAACCGGCAATCCGACCGCTTTCTACGAAAATGACCCTCGTTTTGTCATGCGAAATCACGTCGGGTCGGGCCAGTGAGGAAACGCGTTTTCACTCGTTCCGCGGATTTTCGGTTTTTTTTTTTTTATTTTTTCTGTTATCGCGGAGGAAGAACTGCTCGAGGCCCGTTTTTAGTTAGTTAGCAACATAGATGGACGTTTTTTTTAATTTTCAACTCGTTTTTTGTTCTATCCGGGTATTTGATACTGATAAATTATATAGCAATTAATTGTAACAATAAGAGAGTTAATTACTTTTTTTAAAAAAAATGTATATATATATATATATGTATATATATTTTCACGGAGTCGTACGTTTGGATTTGCATAGAACGGGGTTTTTTTTTTTTCTGTTTCAAATCGACAAAAATGTACCTATGCAGTGTTATTGTTCTATTTGTATCGTATACCGATCTGTAAGGTTTCGCGAAGAAACGGTAAGACACGTGATGACGGCGTCGTCGCCATCGTAGACGTTGCGTGTCTCGCGTCACGCCGATTTTTAATTTTCGTACTATTATTATTTTTTTTTTTTAGTAGCCTGGCCGTCGTACCTAATAAACCAGTTGACAGAAAATATAATTGCCATATACCACGTTTAATTTGGTCGGTTTTATTTCTTATTTTTTTTTTTTTAATAATTTCGTTTCATTATATTTATTGTGTATTATTCATTACGGTATGTATATACGCAGTTGACGTACTTGTATTGTACACGCGTTGACGATTGTAAAATTCAGACGACTTTCACTCCGTGATGGTACGACAACGACAACAATAAAAATTTACCAATTAACCTACGTCGTGTAAAATCAATACTAAAAAAAAAAAGGAAAAAAAAAAAAGTCCGCTATAATAACAATGATAATAATTATATCGTATCGTATAGCACCGGTTTTTTTTTTTTTTTTATTTTATCGAATTTCGCGCGTTCCTCGCATACGGGGGTTTTATATATTTTTATATTCGTTTTATTATTATTATATATTTTTTTTGTTTATTTTCGACGGATAATTATTTCGTATCGCGTGTAAATAACGACGTTTTCCCGCGACAAGGGTCTTAATGTCCCGGGCGGGTCGTCCCGAGGCTAGTGTCGGCTGAGCCTGTCCCACAGTTTCGGCAACAGATAGTGTAAAGACTTGACGGTAACTAATAACATTATGCGTTTGGTCATACTCATTCGGAGGAACGGCAATAACCGCTCGAGCACCGTGTGGCCCACCGACCGCGCGGCCGTCGCGTTTATCGGGTCGAGCAGCCTGACGCGCAGGTCCACGCTGTCCGCGTAGCCGTCCAGCCGCTTGGCGATCAGATAGTCCAGCCGAGTGGAATTGGCCGCGTCCAGCGACTCGTTCCTGGACGGCGCCGGGGAACGCCTCTGGTATATCGTGATCCCGGGATAGATCTCGTAGCTCCGTTCGCCGTCCAGCGCGTCGAGGAGCGCGAGCACGTCCCTCTTGACGCACGTCATCGTGTAATTGTTGGCGCATCTGGACGCCACCGGTGAGCTTTCCTGTGTGCAACATAACGTACGGTTATACTACAGGCGTGCGTGTATTACAATGTACAGAGTGTATATTTCGTCCCGAGCACGTGTGCATCGGTCCGCACGTATTTCGAAAAATTTATAAAAAAAAAAAAATAATAAAAAATGTGTTCGATTATATTCGATCAAAAATAATGACAATCGTATTTGTTTATAGCTCCGGTTCATAGCGCCTCCTACTGTCGTGAAAACCCCGTAGTCGGTTAGTGCGCCATTAACATGTTGGACTAGCAAGTTGAACTCATACACGTGATACGTCACACGACTGACAATTGCCGGAAAAAATACTTAAAAAGTTTGTGTAATATGCGAGCAGTTTTGAGTAAAACATTAAAAACAAACAAACAGACAGAATTGGTATTGTGACGCATATTGAATTTTATAAATTAGCGTACGCAACATTATAATATCGTAGAAACAATAGTATACGTTATAAATGGCATACAATTATATCGGAAGCATAGGTGGACGTTTCGGTGGAATGTCTACCTATGATCGCGAGGACGTCTTTTTTGTCAGATGATTTTTGGTAGTCTTAACAAGTATACATGTGTAAGTACGTCAATAAACGCGAGATGAAGTCTAATAATTTCCAGTAAAATGATAAGTCTTGGCACGAAACGCAACAAAATCATACATATTTAGTTACGACAAAAACGTGTCATAAACGGATCAGACCTTATTTCTTTGAGAGAGTAAACGGTTCTAAATATTTGGTTGTTAATATCAGCGGTAAAAATTATACGCACAACCGGATACAAATAAGGCTAATTGCGGCAAATCAAACCGAACATACTTTTCCATAAATTTTGTTATTTTCAATTTCAAGTATGTATAACATTTGAATCTTTAGAAAATGTATGGCCAGTAATCTAAGGATGGCACCATACCGAAACTTAGTAATTACCAAATAAACCTAATCACACTTTAAGTCTTAGTTTAAAACCGTTTAAACGATTTAGCTTCCTAAATACCTAATAAAGTGTTAACGCTAAATAATCTCAAACCTATATTAAACCGAATGCTCAACTCAAACTCAGTTTTATAAAACATCTTTGAGCTTCAAAAACGCTTTAAAAAACTTCGGCAGTGAAACTTACGCGTTACTTGAGTCACGAGTGAAACTCGGTGTTGAATTCACGAAGCTACACGTTAAACCTTACAATTAAAGGTGCTTTTACGGAAACCGACTGGAACGCGGTGGTCATGTTTGGTAAGCTCACCGAAGTTGCATTCGTAATGTATTGATTAAAACCAGTACAGTTTGAATACAACTAAAAACATTCAAAAGGGTCGAGTGAGCCCCCCTCCCCCCACAACAACAGTATGCGGTGGTCAGACAAAATAGTCAAGGACGCAAAATAAGTGAACGATAGAGTAACGCAAAATGTACATGGCGAAGAATTTTGACAGACCGAGAAGCTCAGTCGAAGCATGTACAACTTTTCAAGACCTGTTCAGTAAAAAAATACATCATATTTTGTGATCGGATATTGTAGGCCAACGTTTTAATGTTCTCCATAATGCAGGTCTATTATAAAATTACGACGGCTGTACAAATATTTCTTTTGCACTTTGTAGGTAATAAAACACAACATTTTTATTTTGTTTTTTTTTTTTTTTTTGCGGAAGGAGGAGAGGGAAATTGACGAAATCTGTTTGATATGATCCAGATAATAAACACGTTTTTACCTACTGTAGTACTGCTGTACGATAAACTGTTTTATCAACTACACTCGACATAGCGGTAGACAGGTATGTATTGGTCGTGTTAGCTAATAGACTTTTGCTCCATCCCGGAGACGGCTCGAGATATTTTATTTGGTGGTTCAAAGAGTAAAAAAAATTGACCGCCCCATCGTAACGGGAAAATGTACGAAATATATTAGTAAAATATTACGATTTTTTTTTTTTTTCTGTGAACAACTTTTCTACTAGCAATTTTGCTCCGATTTACAATGACGTCATTTTTTCTGAAAGTAAATCTGACAGAGAAGGTACTTTAAAGAGGTCATTATTCGATTTTCCCAAGAGTTTTCCCAGCAAATGTGAAAAACCGGGGGAAAAACATGGGAAACCCGGGAAAAACGTAGGAAAATCGATACAACAATTCAACAAATATTATTAAAGAAAATGCCTAATACAATGTCTATCTCATTATTCCACCATAATATGACATATTCGTATACATTGTTGACAAAGCATCACTATCAACTGGACTGCCCTCGGAATCGTTTTTTTCCGACAGCAGTGGTTTATCGTTGCTTACAGGCGTGCATTGAATCCATCGCACCCGAATCCAATGTCCTAGGAAAGCTTTTACCGATTATTGATTATTGTCCTGTGTCAATTGTTATGGGACAAAGGCGCGGTTATCGGAATTGTATCATTAAAGTCTCGCATGAACCGGAATTTCGTCAAAATTTGAACGGCCCACCACCTGACCAACACAACAATTCTCGCTGATTCAGTGAACCGTCAAAACTATAACACGTCCGACGTTTCAGCCACCTATGTCCCGTCCGTACATATCACGGCGTAAGTGTATCGAATATCAATGATATCGAACCGTCCTTTAGAAAGGTTACGGATAGGATACGGTACCACGCGGATGTAGAGCACGTCTGATCCGACACTAAACAACCGTATCACGTCGACGATAATAGTAATAATAATATGCAGGTCATCATAATATTATTGTTATTATAATATTATACGGATTCGTTTAGCACACTGTATGTAGGCAGGTGTACGAAAAGGGAAAACTGTACGTTTTGTCCGTTTGTTTTGCCAATTTTTTTTTTTTTTTTTTTTTATAATAAAATTAAAATATATGTATTATTGTTTTCTTAGGCGATTTCACGTACCTATACGATGTATACGATGATATTTATACCGCGAGAGTGTATCGGTTTTCTCCAGACAAAATATTATTATACCCGAGAGGATCGGTTATTTCTCGCACGAGTGCGCAACGTTTACAATAATATTATGTGTACGCTGTTTTTTTTGTTTGTTTTTTTTTCTCGCGAACAGGTACAACAGGTACACGTACGCTGTACACTGGCTACTATCCATCTATGACCGAAAATAATCAAATTCAAATTATCTCGGAATAAAGGGAGGAAAAGGAAAAAAAAACAATCGGTTGATTACCCGTACGAACGATTGGATCGTGTACCTATTTAAATTATTCCGTTGGTTAATTTGTTAAAACAATGTCACATCATAATATTCACTAAATTTCGAAAATTCATTAAAAACCAAAGTTTCCGTTAATGCCGTGATAACTTTAGTATAACATATTGTAATATTGTTACGATGTTCATTTCTTTAATAAAACAAACTATTAAGATTTCCAATATTGCTGTTGGATTATCCCCGAAAATATAAACTATTGCACTGTTTTGTGCTTGATTTATTATGTATTTATACGTTTTTTTTCCCCCCCCCAGTATATTTGGACACTTTTAGCGGCTTCTTCTACCGAATATTATAACGTCAACAAGTCAACTGTGGAAAAATTCGACTCTAGTTTCGAAGCTCTGTGCTCATGTTTCTTTTTTCTTGGGTTTTTTTTTTCACATTTTATATCATAGTTTTGGCGTACCCCGTATTTTACTTGACACGTTCATTTCTTTCACACGAGCAAAATATAGAAAATAAAAAAAATACACTCGGACTTTGTGATTTAATATAAAAAAGAATCAAGGTATTTTTTTCCAATTAGTTTTGACTCTACTAACTTCTAGGAATTGCGTGTATGCATAAATATTGATTATAATTACTGAACATTTTGCGAAAAAAAAAAATGTTTGATTGACAGCTTTTTAGTTTTATTTCAATCGCATTTCCTATGAGATTTTTATTTTTAAAGCTAATTTATTATTACTATACGTTTTTTTTTTTTTTTTTTTATACTTTCATGAACGGTATTGTTGTAAACACTATAGTTGTGAAGTATTTTTTTTTTATATAGCTGATATAAAAATAAATTATCGAATAACATTATGATAATATTATATTATGGAAACTATTCGATAATTTTCCATAACCGCGAATAAACGCACTCTCACTCATCCTAGCCCTATATATTATACTACCTATATTGCAATATTGTATCGTTTTTTTAAAAATATAATCAGCTGAGAATAAAATACTGTACGCGATTATAGTAATATACATAATACATGTAATACATGTATTACATATACATATCCGCATTTATAGGCGGATATAAGCGAGAAATTAAGGAACTTAGGTCCCCCCCAGCCTTAGATTTTTGTTAAGCCGCGAAAGGTTTTATTCCACAACACTTCTCAATCAATTCTTCAAACACATTTCATTCGTATGAGCAAAAATGTATTTTATCAATATTACATAAAATGTACGAATTTTTATATTATCTGTCAATATGTGTGAAAAAAATGAACGCAATTGTTTTATTATTTGATTTAAAAATTTAAAATGTTTACTAGGTGCCACAGCTAGAAAAAAAATGTGAGTATGGTGAGTAATAGCGAGGGTAAAATGTTTAAAAAAAAAAAAGCTTCACATGTGACAAAATATCTGCCTATGGTTTTTGAACATAACTATTGTTTTCCGTGAGAAAAATACTTTTTCGATTACTTAAAAATATAATACGAATCGTTCAAACCCAGGTCCGTACTCAGCTTTAACGGGGGCCGGACCAACTAAATCTTTCGGGCACATAAACAGTGTGTCCTGAAAAAGAATGGTCAACACAACAGCGCGTTACTCTATAAATGGTTATGAGTTTTTTGAAATTTTTTTTTTCAGTATCAATAAACCGTACCAATGGATTTCTTGAGAAAATTTTTTACCGAATAAAGGTTCACTGGATTTTTTCCAATAATAATCATTATTATCTATTTATTATTCTACTAGCTGTCCCACCCGGCATTGCTAGTGTCAAATAATGTATAACAAAACAATTTCCACTTAGATTTTTTGAAATGAATTTAAATTTGTTGAACGTTGAACAAAAATCAAAATTACAATGAAATTAACAAACGATATTCAGTAGATACCATAGATACCACACAATCAACAGAAATTATACCACAAAATACTAAAAATCCCTGTGTGGTTTTTAGAAATTTCAATAGCTATAAACCTTCTCCGGACCACGCGGAACATTTTGAAAAAAAAAAACCACCGTTAAAGTCGGCCCAGTAGTTTTTTAGTCTATAAAGGACATACAGACAGACACACATCCATATTTACATATATATATATAGAAAATGTATTATTTATAAATAATCATTTTCATGTATTATTATACATTTTTAGCTTATTATGTCCAAAATCGTGAGTTGTATGTCGTTGTACATTTAATTCAAGCTCTAATTTAATGACCCTATTCGAATAATACGATTAATTTAACTGTAAAAAATAATAAAAAAACCCAAAATTAAATTTTTTTTTTTTTTTTTTTTTTTTTTTTTATTGTTATTAGCTATGAACAAATTATTCGAACGACTGTTCAACATGATAATAAAAATAATAATAAAGATTTATTTATTTAGTTGCAGTATTGTGTTTTACAATTTTACATGATTACGAATGTTTATAAATTTTACTGCATCGTTTATCACTAAGGATGATCCTTTTTTTTTTTTTTGATAGGTGAGTGTCTCTATATGAACGAAAAAAAAAGAAATATAAATAAACATAAATAAACTCTCAAAAAAAGAGAGAGGGAGAGAGAGAAAAAAAAATAACAAAACAATTAAATAGTAATAATAATAATAATAATTAAAAAACAAAGCCAATTTATATAGTAATGACGGTAATTATTTCACAGAATTAGATCATTGACCAATTACCTTCTTTTTACAAGCAATTTGTAGTCAATAAGTTTTTCACAATTTTTTATATAAGTTGGAAGTTTTTCATAAATTCTTAAACCCGTGATCACATAGCTATCATAATATTTTTTTGGTGTTTATTTTGGGAAATATTAAATTTTCACATGTCATATTTATGGACGATTGGTTGTATTATGTTTTTTTGTAGTTTTAATTTTTGAATGGGTAAGATTTTCGATTCTGAGTAGAGTTTTTTACTGGGTTAGAGCCTAGGTTTTTGAAGAATAATTTTTAGGAAGGTATTCTGCGCTATCTGTATGCATTTTACTTGTGATCATGTGCTGATCCACCACATGCTACTATATCATATTCAATAACTAATTGTGACAGACCGAAGTCAGTATTTCTTATCGAGAATATACTTAAAAAGTGTTTGGCTATATTATAGATTTAATAAAATTTACGTAATTTCATATTTCATTTTGAAACATGAAGGTTCAACGCAAATGCTGGTCGAATGACAAATGTACATACAAATTCATGTGTCACAAAACAAAATTATGATTTTGGACATGGTAAATCAAAAATTGTAGTGATAATGATTATTTTCAGAACAAATCAAGTGACCCCTTATTTTGTTAGAGATTATTTACAAGAAATTCACAAGTGCGGTTTGTATTAATTTTTTTTATGGATATTTTACAATAAAATTCTCTTAAATTGTCTTTCATTTATTTTAAAAAATGTTTACAAATAAATTGTTTTCATTTTTTTTTTTTTTTTAGTTAGGTATAAAAATAACTTCTATTTTAAATCTTATTTGATTTTCGATTTTATTCATTCATATAGCATTATGAGATACCACTCGTATTTAAGGGGTAACGTATAGGCAACTAATCGTTTTGATAATTTTGAAAAAATGAAATTTGATCAACTCAAATTTACTTTCAAATACATTTTAGAACTGTTCTAATTTATTATCACAAGTATTTATTGTGCAGTCGTAAAATTAACAAATATGTTTTACAAAACTGTTTCGTGCATCTAATAATGAATGTTTGCTCTGTGCAACGTTGACTTAAATTGTTCGATATTAACATTACGAAATACATTTTCGAGTTTGTAAAAGTTTAAAAAAATTGTCAGAATTTTGAACAATAATGAATTTTATATTTTAAGCGTTTTTGCAATGTATTGGTTTTATGACGTGTACTTTTTTCCTGTCTTTAAACAACTTTTCTTCCAGAAATCTTTCTCTGGTCGGAACAACAAGATAGCTTTCTTATTGAATATGTTTAAACCGAACCGACGCATTGGGGAAGTCGATTTTTGGATATTCACGTTGTTTTTTTTATATGATAATCGAGGATAAAAAGTGCCCATAGAAAACACTACCGCGTCATCAATTTCATTATTTTAAACTTTGACGATTTATGTTTTCTACCAGACAGATCGCAAAAACGATTCGGGGATGTATTAACATTAGTGTTTAATACACTTCGGAAATCCTCAATCTCGTTACCGCTACACGAACGCGATACTCGAAATCGGAATATAATACTCGTGCAATTATACGCGCGTTAAAAACGCGCGTATTTACGGCATTTATCGAAAGAAAAAAAAAAAAAAAACGATCTTGTCGTCGGCTATTATAATGTGGGGCGGAAGGGGAAAGCCGACGAGCAAAATGTCTTTGGTCTCGCCGTACGCTATATGTTTGATATTTACGCGTACACGCACAAATTGCACATCGGTTCACGGCGACCGATTATTTTTCTCTCTTATTTTTCAACTTAATTAGTTACACGGCCGAAAGTGTATTTAGCTCACGTGAAAGTAATAGAAACCGTCGTTGCCGAAACGCGACAGGGGTTTCGTGAGTTCGTTCGAACCGATGCCTATTGCGGGTAACGCGCATTATCGCGGCGGTTATTTTTAATCGGGTACGAATTCAACGCGAACGGCTCCGGTTTACCGTCCGAACACAACCGTTCGAACGGTACGCCGCCGCCGTGCCAAATGGAAGACGCGCTAAACGATTAATGTCATCGTACGTACGTCCGCGCAGACGAATTCGTCCGGTACGCGGCGGGAAACGCGGAGACGTGCGATAAAGGTACCAAGTCGGCTGATGGCCGGTCGAAATACCGGGGGAAAAAAAAAAAAAAAAAAAAAAAAAAAATGTCCGAAACCGGTCGCGCAATTCTACACGAACAAATATTGCGGACTCTCGAAGACGAATGGGTCGTGTGCAACGCAGACGTTACGTTTCGGCGTCGAAACGAGGATTTTTTTCGAAACCGTTTCCCCCTTAAAGTTAAGTCGTAATCGACCCGGGGTAATTGTTGCGGCGATTTTCTCGGAAGATTTTAAGGGAATTTGATCATTTTTTTTTTCCAGTCTGCAAATGAATATTGTGAAATGTATTACTCTCCAATTACCAATCTGGTGTAAATTGCAAAACCGTTATGTATATGACTCATAAACGGTGTAGCCGTGATATCAATGTTACGCGTATCAACATTTTTAGTACACTATTCTCTTCTTTGAATCTACGTATAAAAAGAGGCAAGGGGTTAAAAACCCCAAAAATTGTATCTCGTTGTGATTTTAAAAAATGTGCAGTGAAAACTGCGTTTGAGCCTCACAGTGTTTGACAATTTTCTCAATAACGTTTCCCATCGTTTGTCAGTATTTTCTCGTTATATTTAAATACTACAGTGTCGGTACTTTGTTTGGTATCCGCGGTAACGGAAGAAGTTATTCGCACCTTTCGTTATCGATTAATACAAAATTCCAAATCATTTAGACAATTTTTTCCCGAAATTATTACAATTAACCCGCGGGAAAAACTCCGCGGCGCTTTTGTCAAGTGCGTGTGAGAACAACATTCGGGTCTCGTAAAACTCGACGTGTTAAGGTTAATAGGTATAACGAGTGAGAGTAAAAATTTAAATATAGAAATCGTGTTCACATCAAATTATAATAAAAATTGTCCGAATAAATCCGTGGCTCCTGATATAAAAGTACCCGTAACTGTATAGGAAATAATATAAATTTTTTTTTTTTTTTGATTTTCGAATGAGTTAATTTTTACTTTTTTCGTATAATTCATAGCTATTTGTACCGATATTTCATCCAATATCAATAAAACGTAATCGAAACAATCACTACTTACGGTTAATACTGTTGCAGTGTTTACGTACCGATTTCAATCTAAAATAATATTGTGCTTACTCAATGTGTGTTATTAATATAAATAGATATTCAACTGATTACCCGACCAGTAGCGGGGGTTCAGCATAGTTGTCGAAGAGGAAATCTAAGTATAACCAGTTATAGGTATAAAATCATTAAACATATTATTTTCATGTAGAAATTGATATCTACTCCTGTAAGGAATCGTATTATAAAGTAATGTTGGTCGCGACGCATATCGACGGCAATACGTTCTAGGTATATAAGACCTGCACTCTAGCGGTCAAATTAGATACTTTATTTATAATTTATATCGTATACGGCGATAGAATATTTAATTAAATATGATTGGTGCGACAGTGGTTTTATATTGTCACCGAATATCAACAAAAAGACAATAATTACAAGGAATTTATAAAACATAAATTAGTAATTTTTGGCGAACTTTGAGTTGACTCCCAAGGAACTAAATATTGAATTGGCTTCCGATACATTTTTCACCAAGTGGTTTTCAAAACATAAAGCGGTTCTATAAATATAAAAGTGGAAAAAGTACGAACTTTAATATTTTTTAGTGACACAATGCCACAAAAAACTGCTAGGAATTGTCTAACCATTAACCCGATAACGTGTTAAACAGTCACAGCCATTATGTAATTATGTAATTTATCTACTTATTTCACTGATATCGTTAAACGCAATAACCTACGTAGAAAATTAATAGCAATTCGTGCCTCTGTAAGTTATGTATAAAATTCGGTCGATAAAATAAATAGTAAATAGTTTAAAATTTACCTGTGATAAACCTCTATGAATGCATTAAAAATATTATAATTTACTAAATTTTAACAATTTCGATGACATATAAAATTAAATATTTGTATTTCAAATTATTTTCATATATTACGCTTAAATTATTGTTTCAAACAATTTTTATAACTAATGGATGCATAAAATAAATGCTGTAGGAGCCCAAATCAATACATAAATCTCGGGAGCCAATTCAATGTGTAAAAACACCGATTACCTAAATTGGTGAAATTGGTGAATTGGCTCCGGTAATTTTTACGATTTTTATCAAAATTTGATCTTAAATGCTTGTGAAAAAAAAAAAAACAACGAATGCATTAAACTCGAATTTGTTATAATTTTAAATAACAGATACCTAACAAATCACGAAAATATCAGAAATCTATAAACAGCCTAGAGAAAGCTAGAATGTTTTGCGAATTTCACCGCATCCACAAAAGGTCAATATATGTATTTTGTTGAAATTTCAAGTCTCCGCAATAACTCGGCAACGCCGCGATAAATATTTTTAGTTTTGATTTTCTTTCGGGTTTTTCTCAATTATTTTCAAAACCCCTTTGGGAAATCAAAAACACGATCCGTGTAATACATCGACCAGACGCAAAATCGTCTTTTTCGAAAAGGTCGGAGCAAGATCCCTGGTGAAAAGTTGTTTGTAGACAGAAAAAAAAAAAAAAGGCATACATTGCGCATGACGGACTCATACTGTTATAAAAGGTGTGTGTCAGTGCCCGCGGTTCACCTTATTATCAGCCTTCTTTCTACCCCCCCCCATCTCCCCGGAATGCTAATGTATTTCCGCCAATAGACGTACGTATTCAATATTGTCTTTTAGTAATATAATATCCGATACACATTATAAAAAATTAAACAATGCCAAAACGATTTAATTGTCGTAATCGTTATTCCGACGCATTCAACAATATTATAATAATGTGTTTTTTAATAAGAAAAAAAAAACTCCCGACGGAACGTAAAAATAAACCAATTGGACGATTAAAAAAATCCGAGTACGTACGAGTGCGATTAGAAAAAAAAAAAAAAACAACTGAGCATGGGACACTCGATTGTCCCGTTTCGATTACACTTCGGCACAATACCGCGTACTGTATTATGCATTTGTCATACGATTGTATTCTTGTTTTCAATTGGAAATCGGCTAAAGGCAAATCAGTTGGTTTTAAAAAAAAATTACCGGGCCGGTCGATAAAATTATCGGCAAAATTCAATGCGCGACTATCTATTCAACGGCGTACGGTTGTATTTCAGATGCCGTTTTTTTTTTTTTTTTTTTCTATCCCACTACTGTTAATAATTAACATAACACCGACGTACAATTCAATTTCCCGTGTCGACTATAGTCGAAAGCTGCAACACACTTTTACACACAAACCGTTCACAAATAGTACGTCCCGTCACTCTAAGGGGGGGAAAAAAAACGGTATACGCGCATTTAATTTATCTCTCGTCCCACAAGTATACGGTTCAAAACTACCGGAACTTTTATTTATTTATTTGTTTTTTTTTTTATCGGCAAAACTTTTTTACGATCCGTTTACCGGTATAAATAGTTTAAAACTGTTTTATCTTTGATTAAATGTTTGAAACTCGACTTTTTAGATTGTGAGTGAAACGAGGAACGTACAATGTGTAGGCGTTGGTTTTACTCTGACGTTTTGCGTCTTTAAACGACTTTTTTTTAACCAGCAATCTTGTTCCAATCAAAAACTTTATAAGAACATTCCCGTTACAATTTTGATCAATTCTGTACACATCATAATGGAGTTCATTTTTTTGATTTTCCTAATAGTTTTCTTAATAAATAGACGAATTGGAAATCGAGTTACTTTGATAACACGGAAAAAATACGATTAATAATAAGAGAACACGGGAAAAATCTAATACGGAGGCGAAACCCGTTTTGTTAACCACGCACTGTCCCATTTCCGTGGGTGAAAATTATCAGTTTTTAAATATTTATATCGTTCCTTATCAAAATAAAAAAAAAATGTTGTTATCACTGTTAACATCAACTTAAACGTTTCACTTTGATTTTTTATTCGACGATGATGATTCTTGAAGCTAATTATTATTATATTTTCCCATTTTCAATTTGTCTACGATGTAATGATGTAATGTAAAGATTGTTTTACACTCATTAGGCTTTGTTTTTTTTTACTGTTCTATGATAATATTGTCTTGGCCGTCAACAATTTCGTAAAAAAAACATATGTTTAGTGACAAAACCGATAAAATGCGTATATGGGTAATTTCTGAAACCTCAACTTCTATGATCGCAATACCAAGTAGGTATTGTAATTATAGAACAGCTAATTGCCTTTAGATTTGTACGTTCCTTTAAAAAAAAAAAAAAGCTCAATATTGTAGATATAATTTTTTTTCCGTGTTTATGTTAACACGTGTCATCCCATAGATCAATATTACCATATTACAAATCGATATTGCCCGGTATCGAGGAAAAACCGATAAACTCTAACAACCAGTTAACTAATTGTTATTGATTTTTTTACAACCCATTATTACTAACTATAACAACTAATAGTAATAATAATGGGTTGTAAAAAAATCAAATATGAACGATATTCGCTTTGTCGCGAATAATTATTGTAGACAAACGATTTTTTAATAATAATTTAAATCTTAAGATTTTGAATAATTATAAAGGTTTAGATTTAGTTTGTTTTTTTTTTTTAATCGGTTTTGTTCCGTGTTTCCTTACTCTGATCAAAATCGTTTTTTCGTTGCGTCCGGACATAAATTCAATTGCTTTACAGTATATCTTTTCTTCCGAAAATCGGCACATCAAGTATCAGCCTTTATTATTTTTCGAAAACGAACAATGGGTTACTACCAAAATTCAAGATCCAAGAATAATACGAACGAATCGAACATACAAATCATGAACCTCGTAATTTTAAATTACAATCGTTATTATCTATGTTGAAATTATCGTGTACAATTGATAACATTTCTTAAAAATGTATTACCTTAATATTAGTAATTAGTAAACGTGACAACTCTCCAATTTAGCCTATTGTTTTTTATGCGTTTGTATTCGGTCTGATTTGCCGTTAATATTTACGAAAATGCTACTTTAGAGATGACTGAACGGCGTACAACTCGTTACAACGGGCTTACAAATGCACCCTATGCGGTTGCCGTAAACTTACGAGAAGACGGCGAAGGGCCGTAATATTACGACGACGTTAAGAAAACCTAGCCAATCGGATTTAAACATCGTGTTTGCGGACGCGTTTCGACGAAACTAATACAATGATCAGAACACCGCGGTAGGGGTGACCTTTTAATTCGGTTCGAAACAGTAAATCGTATCGCGAACGTCGCTGAATCGAATACGTGTTTTGTGTAAAGGTGCTTTAGTTTCCGAGAGAATCTGTAGGGTGGATCATTCTTCAAATAATAGCTTTCGGGAAAAATCGAAATTCGGCTATTATCATTCGACCGACTTTAGCGGAATAAAACGAATACCGTACCGGTCGGAACGAATCTGCAGGGTAAACTTCCGGTTTTCGTCCGGTCCGTGTACACGGGCGAGACTGGAGGAGCTTTCGAGGGGCCGCAGAATCGGTTTTCGATAATTTTTTTTTTTTTTTGTGTAAACAGGACGCGCACGGCCGGGGCCGGATCGACGTGGAGAAAATCGAACGTCAAATCGACGGACGACGTATCGGCTCATTACGCCCCGCGAATCGAGAATCGGGTCACGGGGGAGGGGGAAGGGGAGAGAAGGAAATAAGGTTCGTTTCCCATCCTGCCACCCACACGTAAAGTCTCCGTCGGCCAAACGGACCCGGTCGGCCGCCCCGTCAAAAACCGACGTGCGCGGCTCACGTTTGTGCGAAAATAATGTTTGCCGGACGGGCGACGTCACACGGTATAGCCCCTGGCGCCGCACGAATTCCGCGTACCTTTGGTCGCCGGACGAAAAAAAAAAACAAACGAAAATCGCGTATACCGTACCTGCGGTGCGGACCCGGCGCGTTGGTCGGCCGCGGCGGCCGGCCGGAGCAGCCGGTCACCGGTCGCGTACAGGAACAGGACGCACAGCGCCGACGTCGACCGTCGCGTCATCATCGGTTGCGGTTGCTGTCGGGGACGTTTGCTGACGTTGCTCCGGAGGTGTCGACGGATCGCGCGCGAGGTCGATGATTGACTGACGGCCGGCGGCGTACCCGCGGTGGCCGCGCGCACCAGGGTGAGCCCCGACACCCACGGTTTGGTTGGATGCCGCCGTGAATCGGCGAAAAATCGTCGCCGCGACAATCGGACCGTTAAACAATAGCGTTGTCGTTATGAATGGTTTTTGTGGTTTTTTTTTTGTTTTTTTTCGTATTCCCCCGACTGGTCCCGTTTCGTCGTTACGTTTTGTTTTTGTTTTTTTTCCGCCTATTAATTATTATTGTGTTATTATCGTTGCGCGTATCGTACGCACTTTCGTCGTTTTCGCGGACCAATAGCTGCGGACGGATAATCAAAAATACAACTCGGGAGAAACGATAAAAAAAAAACCGAAAAACCGAAAAACGCGTCACTGTACTATGGTACTCGCGGCCAATAATAACGCACCGACGCGCGGACGGCTTTCGGCCCGGACGACTGACGGTCGGGTCTAACGGGCTGACGGTCAAGAGCGCGGCGGCGACGACGACGACGACGTCTTTCCGTGTTTTCGTCTGCGGACGGTATTGCGGTGTCGTCTACGCGCCGGATCGCTTATCGCCGTGTTCGAAAATCCGCTCTTTACGGATGCGGTCCGGTTCGCGCGTAGAAATCGATGTCGATGGGACGGGCGCGCCCGGGAAACGAGCGTTCGGCACCGCGATGTTCGAATCGAATCGGGCGGTTTGGGTATCCGCGGGCGCGGGGGCGGCGGGCGGCGGCGCACGCGAGTCGGACCGGCGAAAAACAAAAGGAACGGGAATAATAATAATTGAGCGAGAAAAAAAAAAAAAAAAAAAAACACGGACACCACGGGCGCGCGCGCGCAAGACGGAGAAAAAAAATTTTTTTTTTTTTTTTTTTATTTTAAGAAAAACCCGCGCTCGACGGCCGCGGTGATAATTAATTTTCCGCCGAAATCTCTTCGCGCGCGTTTGCCCCCTCGACACACACCAGCGCAGATTATTGTGCCGAATCATCGGCTCGTTTACTTTTAACCAAAACGATTTCCAACGCCGGTTTTTTTTTTTTCCTTCTGTTCTTCTCCTCCGTCAATCTATCTCTCTCTCTCTATCTATTCGCACACACGCGCTCGCATACCGCGCGCATATTTTCCGCCGCGTGTCCGCCGGCCGCCGTCTCCGGCACAATACACGCACACGGCAATCGTTTCGTTACGGCGGCCGTATAAAAACTACCCACGCGCCGCCGGACAGCTCCAGTTGACGCGTTTATCCCGTCCGGATAACAGCGCGCGATAAAAAAAAACAAAACGAAACGAAAAACAAAAAAAAACGAAAAATCACCGACACCCGTCGTCGACGTCGTTGTAATCGCGGCCGCGTCACTGTTATTTTCAATACCGTCCACCGAAATCGCCGCGCGCAACCCGTACACGCTGCGGGCACGGGGACTGACACTGCCGACACCCACGCGCGTTACGTACCGGAGACCGCGGCGTCGGTCATGTCCAGGAGGCTGTCCGGCGGTCCGGTCGCGGCGGCGGCCCTGTGCGCGATGTGCCTGCTGAACGCGGCCGCGGCGAACGGCCCGCAACCCGAAACCTCGACGCAAAAGGCCGCGGTCGCCGGGGCCGCGCAGGCCCCGGGCCACCAGTACCACCACGGGCCCGGCCCAAGAAACGACGACGCGGCCAACACCGAACTCCTCAAACAGGTATTTACCCGTCATGTTACCGCGGTTACGATTGGTCGGGCGGCGTCGGGCCGACACGGTGTCGATCATAGACCCGGTCGTGTCTTGTACACGTTCCGTATACGCACGCGTCGGAGTACTTAACGTTACGGCATTGAACATCTTGAAAACCCCGAAAACGTTTGCTAAACCGTAAAGGCGATTAACATACGGAACGTTTACCTCTATTTGTTATGTTAGTCGAGCAGATTAACTGCAATTACAATTTTTTTCCTTTGCCGTACATTAAAAAAATATTACCAATGTCTTAAAAATTATAACGAGATATTCACCATGTAGGTGTTGAATTATCAAAAAAAAAAAAACCTGTTTTGTACCTTTACGTACAGTGGCGGATTTTTCACGTTTTTCCGGGAGGATTACCGAGAAATCATATGTTTTTAAAAGTTATCATTTATTAATAGATGCCTCTTTTTCGGACGACATTTATTGAAATTATATCAGTGTCTGGTGGGAGGGGGGCAGGAGGTCTGGATCTCCCCTCCCTTTAAACCCGCCACTGATTTTACACGTATATGTTCAATACTATATTTTCACGTATCAGGTTATCTATTTTTTAGTAGCTTGTCCTACCCTTTCGGTAGGCGCCCCTAAGCGAAGAAGGTCGTGAAATTTAAGTATAGGTAAATAGAATTTTTGAACAGAGTTTGTACGAATTTCATACAATAAAGTTCCCGTTAATATTATTAATTATTGATTCCCGTCGAAAACAAAAACGTATGTTGTTGAGTTACAATATCTGAAAACAAAAATATCATTTTATAATTGTATTCATAATGATTGTTCCGTTCTAAAATAGATTGATAACGAAAATCGAAATACTGTTCGATTCTGTTAGCCAACAATTGACTGATATTTCATTCGAAATCAATGGATACGAAATTCAACTTGAATGTGTTCAGCTACGTGTCATAATTAGAGTTACGGAAACGTAACTACAAGAAGGTATAATGGAGATAATATGACTACAGTTTTCCTGAAGAATGACGAAATTCGAGGTAGCTACGATCCGGTTGTGTTACGGTTTTTTTTTTTTTTGTTTTCTAATGTACGCTCCGCTATGTCAAACTATACTGAACAATTAGAAAAAGAAAAGTATAGTGGAAATTAATAACGAAAAATAAATATCGTCTTCCGGTTCTATTGGCACACTCTCCAAAAGTTGTTGCCGCTATTATGCACTTACACGCTTCACCGTCTGTCTCTATCTTGAACTGTTTTTTCTCCGGTTCTAAACTTTCACGATTTTCCAATTCTCTCCTATCGCCGTGTCGGTCTATCTTTTTCCCGGGTCTTCCTATAGGTTTTCTTCGGTTTTGAGGTTCCCACTCGATAACCGTTCTAACCGTCACGTCTTCTCTTTTCATTGTGTAGCCTGACCCGTTGAATCGGTAGACACTTGGCTTGCTATTGGTGTAAATCCTACCGTATCGCGCAGCTGTCCATTGTATTTTCGTCGCCGATTCCCCGTTGTTCCGCCAATGCCGACGTCCGCGTTTCTTCTTCCGGATTTCGTTCTCAAGCTTTTGATTAGCTTTATTTGATTTACTCGAAACGAAATATTTACAAAGTAGTAGTACAACGTATAAATTGATTAATAAAACACGTGTGACGGGCACGTCAAACCGATTGACCGGCATAATGTAATATTATTAAATCGCACGAAAAAAAAACAATTATCATTCACAGAAAGTGTATTATTGCCGCGGGCATATCGGTATCGAATTAATTCGTTTGTTTCGGTTTCGGAATGTGCGCAACACGGTTCTCGGGTCTATACGAACGCAACGACACGACCGATCGAAGTGTATAATACCAGGTCATGCTCTGCTGTCCGTGTCCCGATTAATCGTCGTTCGGTATCATATTGAATTACCGGCGATCCTTTATTACGTTTGTGTTTTAATTTCATACCAATTCATTCCGCGCTGCAAAACGTATTCGAACTAAATACGGATATGCGACGTTCCCTGTAAGCCAAGTTTTGCGGTGGGAGCGTTGAGTTCATCGCGCGTTTGCAATAAAAATTGTGTACGCGATTATTCGATCAAACGCGTCTCGTGGTACTGAACATCAAAAACGTATCGATTGACGAACTGACAGTATTTACGGAAAACCGCCGACGCTTCGCCGGCGCCGACCTGGCGGATGTGTCATGCCCGAGCCCGGATCGGATTCATATCGCGGACCACTGTCCAAATATAATCGTGTTCGTCTCGTGGAAATTAAATCGGCCGCGTATGCGCCTGATGTAGTTTTCAGTGAAATTAGCTATTAATTCGAATTCGATTTGGATTCATTGTTCCCGCTGCAGTCGTCATGTCGATTCAGTATGACGACGGTAATCCGATTTCGGTCCGGTCCGATTCGGATTCACTAATTAAAAATACATCGTGCGATATCGTTTTCGGAAACAATGCAAATATTACGCGAAATAAAAAATTAGTAAATAATTACCATAAACAATTGGTATTTATCTTTTCTATCTCGTCTTCTGATTATCAATACATCAATAATTTATTGTCTGCTGCTCACTATAATAGCAACACTCTGCTCTGCAGTCTGCGGAAACTCAAATCCTCTAATAAATTCTCGATAACTTTTCATTCACACGACCGAGTTTTGGTAAACATGCCACCCGTGCAGACCTCCTTCCGATTTTAACTATCTCATAAAAACCAAACTCATATGCAGAATAACGGGTTTCTTTTCTTTTGTTTTTTAAATTTTATTTGTTATTTCAAACGCCTTCTTCGTTCGTCGTGTTCGTTGTTCGACTCCGAACGTGGTGACTTTCGTGCAAACATATTATTTCGGTTAGTTTTATTACTCCAGGATTTTGTGACATTGACATCTGCAGAACCGGTTTTTAAAAAAAATCGAGATTCCGCGTAGTCATTTTTGGGGGGGGAGGCCTCAATAAACCTTTTTTTTTTTTTTTGCTTTTTCATCTTCTATAATACCAAGCGTAGACAAAATTCTTTACAATACAATTATTCTCAGTTCATCAATTCTAATTTGTAATTTGTATTCATCTAAATAATCGTGTGAAATTACACACTATCTGTGATAACGACTAGACGCGGGGTGTTTAAAAGCCCTTTGTGCGCGTGTACAGCTTGCACCGCCTTCGGGCCAAAACTTTATAGCGAATAGGGGTTCGTCTCCGTTCCTCTGTCCTCCGACTCTTCCTGGTTTCTTGAACAATGATTTTTCCAATACCGTGTCTCCTTTAAACGTGGCCAAAGTATTTGAGTGTGTTTCGTCTCCGGGGCTGTGGACAAGACGCGGTTTCGGGGTTTTCAAACGCCTAAATTACACGCAATAATATAATTCGTAAATGGCCGATTTTTGTCAAACGGCCAACCGGATAGATACCGAAAATATATTGACGGTGCAACGTGAGGCCCCCTCGCCTCCCGCCCAGGTAGCTCCACTATTGCATTGTGTTTGCTTATGTATAATGTATTATGTGTATCATGTATCGCTGCGGCATGTTGCGCAAAAGGTGCTGACGAAGAAGTGCCTGCACCGGTACACGATGACCTGCATGAAACTGGATCTGATCCGGCTGATCGACCGGTTGGGCACGGCGCGGGCCTACCAACTAGTGCCTGGCGTGTCTCTGGTCCGGGCGCCGGACGGCGGTATCAACCAGACGTCGGCGACAGACACCGGAGGTAACCACAGCGGTGGCAACGGAATACCGGCGGACGTGGTCAGGTCACTGGTCCGGGGCAACGAGTCCGCCGACGAACTGGACGGATACCTGATGGAAAGAGTCGACGCGTACCTCGGCTCGCTGTCCATTAGCGTCAAGTTGGTCGACACGGCGGCCGTGGAGAACGTGCGCAAACTCAGCAGTCAGATGCTCGTCAAAATTCTGCCCACTGACTTGCTGGAGACCGGTAACGATCGAATTGTTTAACTTACCTATATAACGTTAATAATAAGCTATATACTCATAAGTTATTAGGTTATATGTTAGGAGAACACAAATTCGACCTCGACTAATAACCTAGTTTTTAAACCAGGAGTCTTCAATTATTTTAGGCCGCACGCATAGTAAAAACGGTAATCAATAGCAATGACTAAAACGAAAATGACCATGGAAAGAATGGAATTTCAAAAATATTAATAAAATGTACGATTTTTTTTTCGTTTCTATATTTTCCGCGGGCCATTTTTGTACTTGGCCAGTGTTTTTAGATTCTAAATGACTCTAAAAGAAAACAGCTAGCGCGGAATTTGAAAAAAAAATATATAATGCTTGATACAATTGTCTGATGATAGCGGTGTTACCTTTGCGATGACAGGTCGAGGTAAGAAAAACGGGATGAACCACGCGGCCCTGTGGTCGGCAGGCACGCTGGCGGCCATCGGTTTCACGTCGCTGGCCGCGATGTCGGGCAAGGCGTTGATGACGGCAATGCTGGCGCTGGTGCTGGCAGCCGTGTGCGCGCTCAGGGGCCAAGGCGGCGGTGGCGGCGGCGGCGGCGGCGGCGGTGGGAGCCACGGGAAGACGTCCCACTACGAGATCATCACCAAGCCGGCCATCTACGACCACGATCATCTGGTGCACGGGGCCTCGTACTCGTCGGCTCCGTACAGTTACGCCCGGCACTTGCAGACCACCGAGGAGGGCCCGTACCACGTCGGCGGCCGCGGGGGACCGCCGCAGCACGTGAGCATCGTGCACGCCACGCCCGTGGTTGGTTCGACGGCCGGCGGCGGCCGGCCTACCGGCCCGGGCCTTCCAGTGTCGTCGGCCGAAGACGGCGACGACGAGATGACGGCCGGCGGCCGTCCGCCGTACCCTCTGTTGCCGGTCACTTACATACCGGCCGACCGTTAAAACGCGACATTGCCAGGAGAACTGCGACATTTTAATTTATTTTCCAGGATACCAGATAACATTATATACCTATTGTTTTTTTTTTTTTTTTTTTTACATTTTTTTATTATTTTATTTAATTAATATTTATTGCTCACGCGTGAGTTTTTCTGTCGTTCAGAGGGATGCGATAAATCCAAAATAAAAACATTTTATTTAAAAGACTGTTCTTTTTATGGTATCTATATTATAACACACTCTCAAACCCGGTTCACGCGGATCAGTTAGTTGGATAATTGCCGCCGTTTCCTATTTATATTTTCAGGTCGATTCTCTCGCCCTGATACTATGACCGACTTTACCGACAAGTCAGGTACCATCACACAGCGGTCGTAGGATGTATAAAAAAGAAAAAACACCCACGACTTCAAAAACAAAACAAACCGAAAAAATTTAATATGGCCGGCCGGAACCGCAGATAACACTCACGAAATTCGAAACAATATTTCCAATGCTTTCTTTAAAATCCACCGACTTCGACGCCACCGTATGCACCTACCGTAACAGCTGCGTTAACCTACTATACTAGTTATACGCCACTATGTTTCAATGTTCAATTGTTTATTATTTAAATGTTTTTTTGTTCTTTTTCTTATTTTTTTTTTTTTTATGGAGTAGATTTTTTTCTGTTAAAACTGTCTTATTTTAATCGTTTTAGTCACTCGTTTAAATGCGGACGACATATTATAGCTTACCTGCAGTAACATAATGGTGCGCCCTCCTGCCCCTCCGCCACGATTCGTGTTTTTTTTTTCGAGAAAAAATTTGTTCACCGTTCGTTTGTATTGTTCTATTACGTTATTAGCCGGGGAAATGTACCCATATAACACGACGTCACTCATGGCAATCCCATTCATCGCGTCCATTAAATGAATCGATTTCGTATACAATAATAAACGTATAACATTAACAAAGATACGACAAATAGTAATATCGCATAACCATTAGGCTTATCTTCGAAGTTTAAATGTACGCGGAACCGTATAGGAAAAATCTACGCTTAAAAAAAAAAAAAATGATCCGAATCGATGCGTAACATTTGATAGAGTTATGCGCTAACGTACATAAAAATACTTTACGAAGTCTGTTAACAATCCGCTGACCAGTGCACAACATTTCCAGGTAAGTACCTACATTAGTATGCTACAATGCTATAATAAATAATATTAAATTTAAAAAAAAAAAAAAATTGAAAATTATAATACTTCAATTATAATTATTGCTATTAAATTGTATCTACGGAAGGTTAGTTACACATACGAGTACGCGCAAACGGCGTTTAAGATTTCAAATTCCCAACTACAGACCGGACAGAACTGGGGTGTGTTTACAGACGTATAAACCCCTTGAACCATCTTCACCAGCCACGCTCGGTTTAAAATATTACACTTTCATCTAATTACAGTAAAACTTATCAATAAAACGTACAGTGTACTTTAGATTCGGAGTGTAGCGAAGAATGTATTGGTTTTACTAAGATGTTTATTTATTTTATTTTTTATTTTTTTATACTTTGTACAAAAATTATACCAGAAATCTTGCTCCGATATGTACGCGCGGCACGATTTCTGAAAGACAATGTTGTCCAGATGGTACTTTTGTGAGGTCATTTTTTTTGATTTTCTACGTGGTTTTCGAAATATCCGGGATAAACCAGGATAAAGCGTAAGAAATACGAGAAAATTTAAAATACTCCTCGATTTGTCGAGCAAACTTTTCTACCAGAAATCTTGCTCCGATTTATCAAGTGCAGCTTATTTTCTGAAAGGAAGTTTTATCTCTACGGTAACTTAAGGAGGTTATTTTTCGATTTTTCAAGCGGTATTCATAATATCTGGGAAAAAACTTAGGGAAAACGGGATAATTGGTACATAAAACAAATATTATAATTGATAATATATAATCTATATTTAATTATTTTACCACGTTATGACATATATATATATATATATATATATTATTGACAAAGCATCACTATCAACTGAACTGTGCTCAGAATCATTTTTTCGTTAGCAACGGTTTATCGTTGGTTACAGGTATACATTAAATTACCTGTAACAGTGACTGCACACATTTCCATTATCCTAGGACGTCGTTTTACTATTTTCACTTGGATCCGCAACAGCGTTTTTCAAAGAAGAAGGGGGGAATTCCTCCCCAGGTTGGGATTCGGGCAAAAACGTGGTGGGTAATATAGTGATAAAGAAATCGTAAGAATAAAATATAAAATGTGCAATTGTACCGTGACTAAAATTTAAAAAAATAGGTTGATATTTTTCCATTATTTGGTGGAGGCGTGGGATTAATTCAAATCTACAAGGGAGGGGTCTATACAAATTTCGCATGCTCAGAACTAATTATTTTATACAAAATACATTACGCATGTTAATACTTCGGTATTGTTATAAATTATTTATTTATTTATTTATTTAATTTTTAATTCGTTAACACGTAGGGCAGCGGTCCCCGCTAGGATTTTAGAAAGGGCCAAATAATCATTTTGAAAATTACTTGAGGGCCGCATACATTTTTTCAATATTAAAAAAATAAATAATTCATTAATATTTACCTAATTAATATTAATTGTTAATATAATAACAATTAGATAGGAGGGAGTGAGATTTTTAGAAAATTCAGTATGTTGAACTGTATAGTGACCGTTAATATTATACCTTTTTGAAATATTTATAATTTTACGACAAATTAAACGCAAAGCGTCGTGTTGCTTACCAGAAATAAAAAATTCCATTTCTAAACTATTTTGAAGGGTTTTTCTTCTATTTCACGTTTTGCCATTGTAGACGATTAGAAATTAACAGCTTGGCTAATAACAAAAGTTCATTTTTTAACAAAACGCGATAAGTTACAAATTAACAATGAAGATGGAACAACGAATTCGTACACAACGGTGCGGCAACACTAAGCTGCGTGATGGAAACAAACAACGTGGGTTAAATAATGATTTTTAAACGCTAATTTTTATCGATGATTTTAACGATGATTTTTATCGTGCCTACCTACGTGTCTGTCAAACCAGTGATTCGATAAATGTAGAAACGATAAAATAAACAAGAATAAAAAGATTAGATAAATAAAAGTTGTTTTTTTTTTTTTTCTATTAAACAAATAATGCCGTGGCAGACACGGCCATTGGTCAAACAACGAACTGAATTGAAACACAGACGCAGACCATGGAAACAACGAAGAAATAAATAACTATTGTGTTGTTAAATCAAATGTACATCAAGCCCCTCGAGTCAAATTGTTTACACTACCGTTATCCAAACACCTGTTGAATCGCAGACGTCCGTTTACACCGCCTTTGCTCATGAGATCCTGGTACCGTTATCTCGAATTTTCAACGATATTCGTCTTTTTTTACCAAAAATGCTCTCTCTTATCAAAAACCACACTGGAGCTTATTTGCGGGGTCGTCAACCATCTACAACCTTAAAAGAATCACTTTTCGATTTTTTTCGCCGTTTTCCTGAAAACGGAAGGAAATGTAAAATCAGACACCTGTTGAATCACAAACGTCCGTTTGCACCGCCTTTGCTCATGAGATCCTGGTACCGTTATCTCGAATTTTCAACGATATTCGTCTTTTTTTTTTTTTATTATTTAATGCGATTTATTTTGTACAAACAAAATCTACTTCATCATATTGAACCGTATTATGGGGTAGAATAAATAAATCTGGCATGCATACATTATTTATCTTTATACATACATTGTATGCATTTCATTCAAAAATTAAAATCAGGTACGTTTATGGTTAAAGACCGGGCTTAATTACATTTATGAATGCATTCTCGCAATCTTATCCATCAGCAGTTGACAATTTATTTTCAATTTTTCCCAAAATGTACACGCAAGTTGGTTTTTTCGTCCGAAACCGTCGGAAAAATTCGGCATCGTTTCATTTGTTCATATGAATATTATATGATCAATTCGGTTTTGAAAAACGCGACGTCAATTTCCGCGCATTGCGAATTCGATTATTTCTTCGTAATCATCACTCACAGAAACGGAACCGGAATCGATTTAATATTGAAGCCATTATTCAACATTAATATTTATTTTGACGATATTGATAACGGACTATTCTAGCGAGGTGATAACTATCAGTTAAACTTTATCTGTTAGACAGCGTCAACTGGCAGTCGATAAATTCACGAATGAAATTTTACCAACAGTTACTGTCACCTGACCGTTACATATCCTTAACTAGAAAGCGGGCTTAACTGAAACAGTGATAAAAAATGAATTTATATCGGTAATTATTCTAACTGAAAATTCTACAACGATACTTACGATATACAATACGTTATATACGTTATTTTGAAAATGTCAAATGTTTAGTTTTATTAATTTAAATTTATTTTTCGTACAATTACTATTTATGCATCCATAAACAATATAAACCATGAGAAATATATAAAATTGAGTGTCAGAATATTCTCGTAAATACTTACGGGAACATTACTATTGTGGAGTATAATATGCTCGATGACAATATTGCACGTCGAACGATTCAAACGGCAGTAAGTATGGGCGACCGACAGACAAAACTCACGATGAAACTCATATGTTTAATACGTTGCCCGAACGCATTTAAAGGTCGAAATAATTGTCGAATACCTTTTAAAATTCCTCGCATTGACATGACCGTTAGTGACCACGGAATGCGATCGGATGTAAAGAGTGATCATAGTCTACGAACAAGTCATAAACGTTTAAATCTAAAACTATATTCGTTCACGTGTTTCGTTCGGGATTATTGTCAATAAATTTCAATATCGTTTATCCGTTGAACGCCAATATTCATGCACCAAATTATTGCAACGATATAGTAGTATTTTGTTTTTTTGTTTTTTTTTTTTTACAATATTTTGACGAATAAGACATTTTCAATTTACCGCAATCGAATATGAAACCCTCACAGAATATAATATATAAATAATAAATAATAATAAATAGAATATAAAACTGAGCTCTCGCTTTAGTGTTTTCGGTCTACATCATTGTGCTACGATTTTACCTATACTTGCAATTCTCAACTAGAAATATTTGTTTGAGGGATCAGGGCAGGGATGGAAAAAGTCCAACTGGGTCTGGTGAATTTTGGTAATTTACCATTAAACTAAAAAAAAAAAACCTAAAATTACCGAGGGTTTTTTGCGGAGTTATTTTAGAGTGAGTTTAAATGGGTTTTTTTTTTTTTTTAAACAAAACCAATTAAACCCACAGTAAAGCTTACAAAACAATTTTTTTTGCTACTCTATAAAATTATAAAATTGACATACTAAATCGTAAATATTATCATTATTATATTTTGAATTGTGTTATCACAACCAGCGAATCACGAATTCACAATATTGATGATTAGGTATAGGTATTGTTATTTCATATTACCTAGTTTATAGTTACTGTTATAACTTTATTAATTAAATTGTTGATTTTGTTTATTGTAACAACTAAGTATAGTGGTACTTCAAGGAAGTCATTTTTTTTTATTTTTCAGTAGTTTACGCAATATATTCGAATAACCGGGAAAAAAACCGAAAAATGTACGAATGTTTGGTGAAATATTACAGCCTTTTTTCCCTACGAACAACGCTAACTCTGATTTACGATAGCACTTAATCTGAAAGGAAATTTGACTGGTGACGTAGTTTAAGGTGGTTATTTTTCGATTTTCCCAGGAGTTTTCCCGGCAAATTGAAAAAACGGGGATCCCATGTGTTCAGAACATAGGTAAGTAACAATTTATAATTAAATACAGTACAATATACATATAATTTATCAGCGATAACCACTATTCCCAAATCGCCAATTGCCAGCATGTGTTTTTGTCTTCATCTTCAATAAAGAAAACAAATTTTTTATTTTCAAAAATAATTGCGCAAAAATAACAGATTGAGTTTTTTAAGATTGGCGGGTGGGTTTTTTTGGATAGGTTAAACTATAGGTTCTTTTAGACGACCCCAGGCCGGGCCTAAGAGTGAACGTGCGTCCTGTTTAACACGGGTCGATCGTCGTGTCTCGTTTTCCCTTTTGGACTTTGAACCGGACGATTTTATCGCATTTTTAGAAAACTGTCCCTTTTTATTAATGCCGCCGTTTCCATATTACCACATGCGCACAAACGAACAAAACAGCGCGGGCGGTACGCTCGTAACAGCAACGGTATTTCGCACGGATAAACGTTATTTTATTGTTTAAATCGATAACGAATCCAAGAGTATACAATAAAATATAATATATTTACAACATGGGTAAAAAAAATACAAAAACGTGTTATACAATAATAATAATAATAATAATATAGTCTTAACGATACGAATGCGGCGTACGGGTGGTGGGGGGGGGGGTTATACGGGGATATTACGAAAAACGTTTGGGAAACGCAAACGCCGTACGGCATTACAGGTGTCGTCACAAGTGGCGTACGTCACTCCGGGATGTGGACCGCTGCGCGCCGACATTGGTTATTCGGAGGTGCGCGATCACGGCGGGGAACAACGCGGACACCGTCCGTATTCACGGATCCCGGCGGAAACCGAATGGACGCGCCCGATCGGATCGCGTTTCGCCCGATGGTTCGTCACCGCGACGAGTACCAGGCGTCTCGCGGGGCCGATTAAACGAGGACCGCGATCGTCGATTGCGATCTCCGCGCACGGTATTGTAATGCGCGAATAACGTTTCGTTTTATTTATTCGCGGGACCCCGCGATTATTTATTGTGTTCGGACGGAGGGTCTGATACAGTGAAGAGAAGGCGACTCGGGGCGAAAGACCCCGCGGGCGTTGAGAGCACGATAAAAATCGCGATCAAACAACAAAACGGGCGGGCCGGTCGAAAACCCAACGCGAGCTTTTCCCCCGTTATCGAGTGGACGCGTCCGTTTGTTTGACCCGGACCGCGCGTATTGTTTGCGGTCCGAGCGCGGCAACGGTTTTTTTTATACATATATACACACACACACACACACACACACACACCAAAACGTCGACCGGGCAAAACGACCCAGACCGCCGTGCGGACCGCGACTGATCTGTCGCCCGGCGCGCTAATGTTGTTGATTGCCGTAAGCGTTGTACGCCATGTCGTTGGCGTTGTCCTTGAAGGACACCGATCCCGAGGACGGCCGGAACGCCGTCCCCGGGTCCTTGTCGTCCTGCTGGTTCCTGGCCGGGCCGCCGTTGTTGTACGGTTGACCGTACGACGGCCGGGCGTCGGGCGACTCGTACAGGTACTGCTGCGGTTCCGGGTGCTCGCGGTACGGCGTCGGCGGATCCTGGTGCTCGCGGTACGGCGTGTACACGGGACCGGGAGGCGGTGGCCCGGAACCGCCGTGCGACGGCCTGTGATAGTAGCTGCTGTGACCGTACGTGCCGTAGTTGTGCTGCAAGTCGGGCTTGCACAGCTTGAAGAACCCGATGAGCCCGGGCACGACCAGCGCCAGGAAGCCCAAGAACTTCTTGAACGACGCGAGGCCCAAGATCAGCGGCAGGAACAGCAGCAGCTTCAGCTTGAACAGCTTCAGCACGATCAGCAACGGGATCAGTAGCTTTTTCACTTTTTTCTTGGCTGAAAACACAAAACGGCCGGGCGTCATTATGCAACATTCCGCGGTAAACGGTCAGTTAGTAAGCGTCGTGATAAACACGCGGGGATATCGTACGATTATAGGCAGCGGTGTTCCCATTCGTTTGGTTTTTATTTTTTATTTTTTCGAGAGAGAGAGTAAACCGATTTTATATCTTTCTTGCGGACCGTATTATTTGTGCGGGAAAACGGATTAGTTTTCGAAAATCAAGTACAATGTGTCGCAGGACGATCGTGAAATTCGCAATTATAACAATCGCTGCAATAAAAACGATAGCGATTACCGTTTCGGGTGTCGGTGCCGTAAAAGTGGCACAGCCCGCGATTTTTCAACAAAACGTTGAGAGCGTACGGCATTTAATATTGCGTGGTGTGCCCAATGGGGGGAACACCGCCGCAGGTTAGAGGATAAACTGTACGGCATGCAGGTGCGTCAACAAAAAAAAATATTTCGGGGGTGGGGGAGGTAGGGAGGGAGGGTTGAGGTTGTACTTTCATACTCTCGTAACAAAGAAGTTCGCGTGCTTTCGATTGTAGGACTATTTGTTTTCCATTGAAAATGTCAATGATTTTGAACCGTTCATTTATTTTAGGTGCCCGTCGCTAAATGTTAACGTTCTGTCTTTTCATTTAGTGAACGCATCCTAAACGGTAACGTGGTTGGCGTTATTGTGACGACAATTATGGACTATGCAACACCGCCATGTCAGTTGTTATAGTTGCCTAAAAGCGTGAAAACCGCAAAGTGTTAGAAACGGCTGAAACACATTCGTTACGACGACAGCGACTAAAGTGTCCGATTTGTGTAAACGTAACGCGTGAAATTTGAATGACAATACTCGACACGTCCACAAAGCAGATAATAATACGGATATTGTATGGTGTCTAGTACAATTATTTTTGGTCGCCGCTTCCGGTTGCGTCGTGACCCCGAGTAAACGAATACAAAGCTCGGTTTAACGATTTCGCCCGCGTTAATCCGCGTCAATTCAAACGAATTCGCACCTATTGTGCGGGGGCGCACGTGGAGATGCTTTCGTTTTCGTTACGTAAAACCCGAGGCCCGTGCGGGCGTGGTCAGTTGTAAACGTGGCAATTCGCGTGTTTCCTTTAAAAGCGGAAGGTGCCACTTCGGCCGCGAAAAAACCGTCGTGTACATTCTTCGCGCGCCGGCAACGGCGATGGCCAATGGAAATGCAGTAAACAAGCGGTTGTTTTTCGACACTTTCCGATCGTCGCAGAATCGTTCGACACGCGGTGTGGTTTGCAATTTTTCCGGAAATTTCGCCCACACGTGCCGCGGTACGCACACGTCGAACGTCAACACGACTCGATCCCGTCACGACACACGACGGTCACAGCGGCGCAATCGTCGGGCGCGCAGTGTTCTCGTCGGATCGCGGCGAACGCGAACGCGAGCACACGCGCACGCGTAGATGACGGGGGCCCGAGCCGACGCGACGTCCCGATTTTTTTTGTCCCGCCGGAACACGCCGGGAAGCGGCGAGCCGGCGCGTACGAACGATTTATTTTTTTTTACTCTGTTCGTTTTCAGTTTTCGTTTCGTTTGCCTCGACGACCGGGTCGCCGGCCGCACGACGGCAATAACAACGCGCGCAATCGGAAACGACCCGAACCGAGTAAACCCCGCGTAAACACTACGACACGATAAATGTACGCCCGCGCCTAGGACGCGTACAATACCGGTACGCTGTACGGGTGGAGTAAAAAAAAAAACAAAAACAAAAAACAAATAAAACGATAATAACGACGAGATATCGGCGGAGCCGACGCGCGCGGGGAAAAATAACCGAACGACCTCGTAGTAAAATTGTGGATGATCGTTCGCGAGAGGAGAAAGCGCCTGTGATATCACACAAGCGGCGGCGATCGTATTGCTCCGGTTTACACGATTACCTCGGTACCGACGACGAACTAATACGCGTGTGCGGCGGCGCGTTGGCAACGACGTGTACGGAAAAAAAAAACGCACACACCCGGAGATAAAAGGAATCGGCGGCGAAATGACGCGAGGACACGTCGATGACACGCGTTTCGCGGCCGGGTGTACCTGCCGTGTCGTCGCCGGGTGTAGCCGGGAACACGGGAACACAGGGGTTGATTCGATTCAATGTTATCCGCGCGAAATCGAATAGAAACTGACTGAGAAAGAAAACGATTCGAAATGCAATTGTGGTTCTCGCGAGAAAAAGATAAATAGAAAAAAAAAAAAAAGAGAAAAATTTCTAAATCCGAAATGTCGTCAGACGGGACCGGGGGAACCGGATTATTTTAAAGTTTTTTTTTTTTTTTTTTAAATCCGAAAAACCGAAAAACCGTTCGATCGCGCGGCTTACGTCGACACGGGAGCGAGGGAAAACCGCCGGCCCTCCCGCGCCCGGAAACCGTAACGGATTTCCGGCCGCGCGTACAAACAGATGCGCGTCGCGCATGCCGGGCCGCGGGATTTCCGCGCGGACGAACGAACGACGCGCGGCCGGCAGACAAGAAAAACGAATAAAACACCCGCAAACACGACCGCTCGCAATACAAGACACCGACCGCCGCACACGAGAAACGTTACCCGCGGAAAAACCGAGTCGACGACCCGTCTCTGCGCGCGTCGCGTTCCGGTCTGGAAAACCGCGGCGCCCGCAAAGCGTTCGCGGCCGTTTGTTGCGTTTCGATTTCGTCGGCCGCGCAAACGCGACAGTGATGTTCGTACGACCGTTTTTGCAGCGCGATAATTGTGCGGCGCGACGACCGGCCGCCGTAATATTTCCCGAACAGCGTTCGCGGTACCGTCGGCCGTCGCCGTCGCCGTTGCTGGGGGGGGGGCGGGGTTCCCGGGGAGCACGCGATATCCGATTGGTTTCGGAAAAAACCGTTTTCGACGGGTTTCGACGAGAAACGCGGCCCGCGGCTCCCGCTCGTTACGCCGCCGTCGTTTCCCCGGACAGCAACGCTGCGTGTTGAAACTCGAAATCCACATCGTCGCCGTTATCCGCGTCCGGAAACGCATTTCCGCGGATCCGCGATTGTATCATTTTCGATTTGCGTCCCGTACCCCGCACGTCCCGGCGCGTAAGTACAGGTGTAACCGTACACCGGCCGGAAACTGCCATTCTATTCCGGGCGACCGAGCGGTTCCGTGAGCTAGAAATTGTATCGTACAGTGTTGCGGTCTCGGCGGTTTTCGGCGTTCTCGATTGCCGACCGTCCGATGATGAACGCGGCTCGTCGCCCGCAATCGCAACAATCGTAACAGTCTTAACCCACTGCCGCGCGGACTCGAGTGAAACGCCCAGGTCAATACGTACGCCGAACACGCTCGAGTGCTCGAGCGTTTCTTTACAAGCGATTGTGTTCCGAACAAATTATCAGGAACACATAAAAGTATTTTTGGGAATACAGTTTACATTGAACAAAAATTAAGGACGGACATACACTCCGCACGTGGGTGCGGCCACTGTTGTAGGCGGGTAGTCGGGAAGGTAGGATACAGACGGGCCATTTAACGCGTGTCGGTGAGCAACGATAAACCGTATTGATGGCGGAAAAACGATTCTGAGCGGAGTTCGTTTGATAGTGTTGCTTTGTCAACAGTATACGTATGCGTGTCATAACTACGGTAAAACGATTACAACAATGTGCGTTTCCATGACAACAATGATTGTTTAAAAAAAAAAACCATTAAAGTAATAAAAAACTTAATAATAACAAAAAATAAATAAAAACACGATTGCCAGTTACAACCTTATATTTTTTAATCTTTTTTAACCTAAAGAACCAGGTGTCTCCTCCATCATCTCGAATTTCAAAAAAAACGACCTCTTTAAAGTTCCACCCAGCCAGAAAACATTACCTTTCAGATAAGGTGCTATACTTGGTGATCGGAGTAAACGTTCCGGTAAAAAAAAGTGTTCGCATAAAAAAAAATTGTAATAAACATCGCCGCAAGGCTGATACATACAAAATATGAAGGGAGGGAGGGGACGGGGTATGGGCTGTTGAAAATTTAGAAAAATATTTGCAATCAAGTACCGTCTGATGGTCGTGCCGGATTTCTTTAGAACGATGTGTGAAAAAATCGGATCATATTTACTAACCGAAAAAGTATTTTCATGGTCTAAAAACGGGAGCGACACAAAAAGTATTATTTTAAAACAAAAATAAAGTGCTGTTCCAAAACCAATCGGAACTCCGTTGGTATATTAAAAATGTTTTTTAAATATTCAAAACGCTTTATACGGAACACTGCCCGTCGTGTGTGCGGCGCGCGGAATTCTCGCGTTATTCTCGAAATGCGATCGGCCGTTATCGTAATTGAAAATTTTAAATTCCGAACGCAATTCGTTCGGAACACTTCGACGTACGGGGAAATGGTATTTCGGCACGTGTTACAGAATTTAACGCCGGGGAAACGGGACGATCGCTTATAACAACATGTGTGTGCGTTAAACACTACGTGTGCGCGGAAAACTTTCTCCGGTTCAAATTCGACGCTATAAAACTTGGGCGCGGCCGATACGCGGTCGTAATGTTTAACGGAATGCCCCGGGCAAAACGGCCGTCCGGGTGTTTGAAATTCGAATGGGGGGAGGGGGGGAGTAAACAGTTTTCAAAAATCTGCGCACGCGCACGCGAAACGAGAAACTACCAACACGTTGCGTACTCCGCACACGTGCCGCAGAGCGTGAAAACGCGGGGAAATGTCACGTGCGCGAGACGTTTCTAAAAAGCGACGGAAATTTCGAAATTTACCAACGCTCGTGAATGATACCGCGCCGGTCCAAAATGGGTACGCGGTTTGGCGCTTTCGCGAACCGTTTCCCGTCCGATTTGAGTCGGGCCGCGGTAGAAACCCGACGGTAACACACAGGCGCTAATAAATGCGATAATAAAAATAAAATCGCGTCCAGTGTACTCACTGATGATGCTGGCCTTTTTGTCCTCGAGCGTGTCCAGCTCGGTGGATATCTCGTCGATGAACCTGGGCGAGTACCGTCCGCCCTCGGTGAGCTCGTCGGGCACGTGCACCTCGACCGCGGTGGCTCGCAGGAACCGTTCCACCTTGCGCAGGGCGAACTTGACCAGCCGGTCCCACTCGGTGTCGTCGGGCCGCTGTTCCGACGAGAACTCGAACGCCCTGGACGACCGGCCGCCGTCCCCGAAGCCGCCGTCGTCGCCGCCCTGCAGCCGGACCACGCGCACGTTCTCGTTGAGCCGGTACGCGTCCCGGCCGAAAAAGTCGCCGAGCCCGGACAGGGCGCGGGCCTTGAAACACTCGGCCATGTCGCCCTGCAAGCACGCGCCGTTCGCGGACGACAGGTACGGGTCGGCATCCTCGTCCGCGAAACTCCCCAGCCAGTTGAACAGGTTCTTGGCGCTCCTCTGGTCGCCGGCCGTCGCCGCCGTCCCGTTGTCCGCCGCGGCGTCCGGGAACGTCATTGTCTGACCCGACACGGACGGCGACGCCATCGCCGCCGCCGCCAACAGTACCGCCAGTGCCGTGCGGCTCGTCATCGCCGCGCTCTCCGGCGCAGTCCGCGCGTCTAACGAAAACACCTGACAATAACAATAACAATAATAATAATAATAATAATGGAAAACAACGTTAAACAAATATATTGGTGGATTGTTGAAAATTCGCGAACAGCGACCGGCCGTAACAACGCCGTCGTTAAAAATACCGCGCGTACCTACCGGTTACAGCGGCGCCGCCGAGCGGAACACGTTCACGGCGCGTATTATTACCGTTATTGTAACGTAGCGCGAACGTCGAGTGCGCGCGTCGTGTTCGTTCGGTATATGGAACGCAGAAACGTCGATGACGCGACGACTCGTGAACGTCGAGGAGGTGTGCGGGCCGCCGTGTGAACCTCGTCCGTTGACCGTTCGGATGTCACTAACTCGCCGACCGTCTGCCGTTCGGTCGTTTTATAATAGCGCGCGAGAACGTCGCCGCCGCCGCCGCCGCCGACAAACGTTCACACGTAACCGCCGCGCGCCCGCCTCCGCGGGTCCGGCGCCGGGGATCGTGCGCTGTTAGGTAATCCGTTTAGACCCGCTCTTATCGTAATCATAACAATAATAATAACAATAATAATTACAATAATAACTAGACGGCCGGAAGAAATATCGCCGCGGCCGACCGACGAACATAACAACAACAATAATACGGATACGAAAAAAAAAATCGTAATAAATTTATAAACCGGTCGTTATAATACGATTATTCTATTATTGAGATTAGAAAACGGATTCATGAAACACGAAAAAATCCTCGACACACGATTCGGAAAATACTTCGGTGTGTTACGGAATAAGTTAACAGAAATGTAAGTGTTTAAATGCATCATTGCGTTTTGTTAAGTAATACGGTACGCGTAGTATGTCGTTATGGAAAAAACGAGTATTTCGACACGTTCGCCTAGTAACATTCTCAATACTCGTCGATATCGCGTCGCACGCTCAAACAAACGATTATTGAAAAAATATATACGCATCTGTCATTTACCTTATTACGCCGGACGACCGTTCGTACAAAGTAATTCGACAGAACCGTGAAAACATAAGACTGGAGAAAACTATGCGCTCGGAGGCGTAGCCAGAGAAGGGCTAAGGGAGCCGTTGACTCCCCCATAGGCCGTGTTTGTGTATGTAAACTGTTTTATGATTCCAGTGTTAACCGAGTTCCTGGCTAATTTTTCAGGGCCCCCTCCCCCCCTCCCCCCGCCGAAAGATCGTATTCTCCACTGAACCGTATGAAAACGGAGGAACGCTGAATGTCAGAAATGTAGACTCGCTTGATTAGCCATGGCTAATTCATTTTTTTTTTTTTACAATCGTAATAATGATAAAATTACTATTTTCGCTCGAAACTCTTCAAGGAAGATCAGGTGTTAGTGGGGGAGTAAGTATAGTTACGAGTTATGTCGAGATATATATGTTATATGCTTAGGTATTTCAGTATTGAGTTTTTTTTTTTTTTTATATAGACACTTTCGTTTATTGCATTTAGAATGTATATTACATTTGCAATACTTTTTTTAAATTTCTCGAGGGGTTAAAACCCATGCCTTCTCTTATCTTCGGCCATGCTCCAGCAAAAACGCATGTAGCCTCATTATCGGTTTCTGTTAAAATCGTTATTGCTATCAAAATTCTATGAGAAAAAAAAATATAAAAAAATCGACAAATACCTGTATGTTAACATGTTCGTTTCAGAGATATTCTGACGTTGTTCGAGTTATTTATATAGCTATTTAATATTTTCTTTGGGTGTTTTACGCGGATAAAATTCATGTCACGTGAAATCACAAAAATTATACAAGCTTGAAAACTCAAAAAACTGCAGTAATTCATTTTGCAATCAATACAATTTTCAATAAAAAAAATGTATCAAAACACTTTACCCGAACTTTGTTCAGAAACGTTTATCAATTGAAAATGTTGAAATGACTTATCGATATGACAGACATGAACTAAATTACCTATTACCCTATAATCCTAATATCCCACCTTCATAATTTCCCACGTACAACCGTTCCGCCATGATGCGGACAGCGAAGTATCTGACGTTATTATTATTACCATCGTTATTAATTTAATTTTAATTTTACATTAGAATGTATATTAGTTTTACAATGACGTTTATTTTTTTTACGTGAACACTTTTTCTACCGGAAATCTAACTCCTATTAACGTGCATAGCATTTTTTCCGAAAGAGATTAACGTCTTCTGGGCGGTACTTTAAAGCGGTCATTTTTTTGAAATTCTTTTCAAATATCCGAGTAAATGAAGAAATCTTGATTCTTTAGGTTAAAAGAGATTGAAAGATTCAAAATAAGGTTGTCATTGGCAACCGTTTTTATTTATTTTTAAGTTTTTATTATTTTAATCTGTTTTTAAACAATCATTGTTGTCATGAAAACGTACATTGTTGAAAAATCAACACTACTGACCAAGCTATATTAAAATAAAATAAATTTCGATTTCAATACATTCTTTTAACTATTGGTTTGTATATTATATTTCTTTGTTCTATACTTAAGCATCACTATTAACTGAAATCCGCTCAGAATTGTTTTTTCGTTAACAATGGTTTATCGTCGCTTACAGATATACGTTAAATTCCCTTCTGCATCCTACCTTCCCGACTACCCCCCAACAACAGTGGCTGCACTCACGTTGCGAATTATGTCCGTCTTTTTAACTTCAGTTTTATCATTGATATCAGTATAATTCAATAAAAAATAATAAGTGTGAAGAACTGTGTGAAAAATTTCAACTTGGTAGGATAACGTACTCAACGCAGGTATAAACGATAACCATCAACTTGGTAAGTTATCGAATAGCGAATATTACTGAATTTGACCCATACAACAGACGGCATGAACTCGATAAATTGCCGAAGAAAAACACGAAAATAATAATTTTAATTTTTTTTTTTTATCTGCGTATAGTACTATAATTACGAATTGATACGATTTTCAATTTAAATTTACCGACAAATGTTTAACAGTTCGGGACCGTTTCTCGGGGATATTTAAAAGGATATTTACAAACGTCGCTAATACATTCAGAGCGTAGTTTTTCAATTTATATCGAGACGGGTTTCCCCCCCCCCCGGTCACACACATTTTGGACAGCAAAACGATCCGACTGTTTTGGACCGTGCCCGTAAAATGTACGGGTTCTTCGCTCGGTGGCACGCGTGTAATTTGTTCGAAAAACATCATTCCCGGCAGAAATCGCATTTCGTTCGCAACGGAACGCGGATCGCGACGTAGCACCCGCATATAGCGTCCGATTCGTTTTCATCGCGCCCACGCCTGTTGTATAACAACTCGGTACCCGCCGTCGTCATGGGTATTTTCATCACAACGACTCACTTTTATTGTTATTCGTTTTTTTTTTTTTTTTTTTTTTGGGTCGTCCGTCCGCGCCCGTATAATGCGCGAACGAACGCGGTCGTTCGACGCGCGTTGTCCGACCCCGGACGCCGACCGAACGATCGCGCCCGCGCCGCCGCCGTGAAAGTCGTACGGACGACGACCCCCCCCCCTCCCCCGAGTATGGCGTAACGACGACACGGCAATGAGTCAGCCCCCGTCGGACGTTCCGGACCGCGCGTCGGCGGTAAAATGGACGGGACGGGCCGCCGCCGAACGGTACGGCGCCGGGTAGCGCGCGTGACGTAAGCCGTTGGTTTTTCGTCCGACGGCGACGGGAGGAGACGGAGGACAAAGGACGAAAACAAACCCGTCCGGTAGACGTGCGATAATAACATTGTCGTCGTCGTCGTTGTTATTTCGTAACGATCCGGACGGCACGATCCGTTCGGGCGCGATGACGCATCCGGACTTTCTTCGCCGGTGATCCGGGTCGTTGACGGGGAAACGACCGCGGTGATGAGGAGCGCGCGGCCCGGGCGCATATTACACCGTGCGGGACATGCGTGCACTGTGCGCGCGGATGCGCTCGCGGTTTCACGCCGCTTGATGACGTTTCCGAACGTTGGACGCTGGAAAACTCCTCGGTCGTAAAACCTGTTTCAATCGCAGAATGCTAGGCGACTTTTTTTTGTCGCATTTCAAATTTAGTTTGATTTTCCAATCGGTTTTCGTAATGATCGAGCGCGGTGGCGGTCCTACGGGGGGAGGGTACAGGGGGTCGGTACTCCCCCCCCCCACCCGGACTCCGGGTTTAGATTTTGAATTAGTTTGCCATTGAAAATTTAAATTGAATCAATACGAGTTATAATTGTAAATTAAAGTTAAATTGTAGTTATACACGTCACACATACATTACATGGAAAATATTATATTATGCGTGATACACAATAATAATAATTATATATTGGAAATGCACTTTAGCGAGGTCATTTTTTAAATTTTCCCAAGAGTTTTCCTAATAAATGGGTAAAAAAAGTTTTTCTCAGTTATTAAAAGAACAACAAAGAAAATTTAAAATTGATTTTTTTAGTCACCAACTAGATTAAAATTTCAACAAAAAATATCTCTTGTTGTGTTTATATTGGAGCGATATTTTTGGTAAAAGACATAAGCCGAACAAATTAAAAATAATGAAATCGTTGTGATAAAATTTGAAAAAAAAAAAAAAGTATATTTCGTCGTTTTTGGGTTTTCTTAATTATTATAAAAAATACTGAATATAATATGTAATATTGAAAACTGTAACCACACGTCACTCGTAAATATTTGCGTTTTACCTATAATTTTCTTTCGGGTTTTCCCCGATTATTTTGAAAACCCTTTGGAAAATCGAAAAATGGCCTCCCCAATACTCGACAACTAGAAACAATTACTTTACAGAAAATGTAATACAGCCTATTCTTCCAAATCTAAAAAAAAAAAAAAATACAAAAACACACATCATAGTAAAACCGGTAGATCCCCTCGCTACTCTCCCAATCTAAAAATTACCATACAGAATGATTTACTAAACGTGCTTATCCCATTTTTTGGTTAAATTTTTCTCACAATCTCTACTCTGCACCTAATTTATTTAGTAGCGTCACCATTACTATTTATCCATGTTCTCACTTTTGCCAGGTATTTATAGGTATACACTCTTTTTACTGTTGTATTGTTTAAGGTCAGGTTTTTATTAATATGTTAGGTATCTGTCTTATCTTTTGTTATTATCCTGATTTTCATTTTATCCACATTAATTTTCATCCCATATACTTACTATATATTAGAAAAAGCCAATTTATAGTTATTTATATATGATGCGTAGTGCTACAGAAAAAATTCTAAAAACGCCCTAAAAGCACTTAAAAAAATATTTTAAAAAACAAACATTGTAAAGGCGTTTAAAAGTAACTTCTTCTCACGGCTGTAACTTATTAAATAATATTTTCCAACGCTACAAGAGCAACAAAACAACACAAAGTTATTTTATTCAAATACAATTTTACACGTTTAAAAAAAATGTACTTATTATTAATCATTTTTATAGTGTTAATAAATAATATTTAATTAGTTAGAATTGTTAGAGGAGAGACGTTTAAACTCCTTTAACAATTTAAGATTTATTAATACTTTTAAAGTACTCTTTTCGGAGCTTTTTTTAACGTTTTTAAGTACTTCTTTGCGGATTTTACGTTTCTTTACGTGCTAAAAGTTTCGAGTTCTAGTTAACAGCGTCTTCATTGCAGTCATTCGAGTTTAAAATTTATTTTTAAACCGGATAGCATTCTACATGGCGACTCGACGTCTCTGTACAGGTTCTGAGGTGCACACTTTGGGAACCATAGCGTTATATTATATTGTTGAGTTTTCTTTTTCTAGTCCACCGCCGAAATGTCGTGATGATTTAACGGATACCATCGTGAAAGAATAGAAAATAATAAATTATATCTGTATAAACTATATAGATGTCGGTACCTTTAAACAATTCAAACGCGCCAGCGTGATATCCGTGAACAGCGGTGTTGCACAGAAAACGATTCCACACATATACGTACATATCAGTGACGAGATTAATTATGTTTTCTATAGACAAAGAATCCGGTGGATGGACGATGAATCGTATTCAATTCACAAACCTATATTATAGGTACTGCTGCCGTTGATCGAATGGATTCATTTCGCCGTATAGAATATCCAAGCCAAGGAGCAGAGCAAAAAACCCCTTACTTTCCGAGAGAACTAATATCTCTCTTTTCGGGTTTTAATCCCGTAGAGAAAACTGACTAAAGTAGCTTCTGAGCCCTTGTTCGATTTACGACGTAAATTAAACATACTCTTTTTCTCTCAGGGATCTCTGTTTGTATTCATACTATACGAAGCACGATAAACTGGTTTCGCGGTGTTATGTCACCCGATGAACTGTTCCGGGATTAAGTGACCGTGATAAAGTGGTTGAATACTACTCTTCTAGATACAGGTCCAGGGGGGAGGGGGGGTATATACACTGTAAAAGCTCAAAAAAATCTTATCTGGTAAAAAGACTGTGATAACACAATTATAAACTTAGGGATAAAACGTCCATAATTTATGTATTTTTATTTATTTTCAATAGATATTAGAATTGTGGAGATTTCGCCAACCGTATAGCTGCTAAATGCACGTTGGGACCAATGCTCAAACACTGTAGTTTCAAAGTTGCAAAGTTGCGAGACTTCAGATCACCTTATAGCCGATTGTTCTAAGGTTCAGTCAAAAAATTCAACGAATAAATTAATAAAAAACCGGCCACAAAAATTAGAACGGCCAAAATTTTGACCCAATAAGCAGAAACAGGAAGAGGACATTGCAGACGAAAAAAAGCAGCCGTACCCAATTAAAATAGGAATTAGGTCGATGATATAGAAGACAAATAAAAGCTGATACTAGGGACGGGTACCGCAACTGATGTAGGTGGAAATTTGGGAAGGTAAATCCAACTCTCCATAGGTACCTACGCTCATAGGAACTTAGGAACTACGAACTATGAGTAAGTATTCAAATAAATGTCACAACGGCGAACACGAATGAATATCGTATAAAAATAATAACTTCAAATGCACTTAACTTGCGTTAGTT